TTACTCATCCACGGTTTCCCACTGTAATTCCTCTTGTTTTTATACTGCTTACGAGGACAGTTCCTGTCATATACTTTCTTAAATATATTTAAAAATTGCTCATATGCTTTGTCTAAGTCTTCCTCTTTGTAAACTGCTTCCCAGTCTTGCCCCATAAAGTCCTCTTTTAGCCTCCTTACAGCATGTTCGTTCATCACCCTCCTATAAAAAAGATTTGTTTTTGGCCTTTCTTTTCTATACTGGCAGTCATAATTTGTGCAGTGATTTTGTCAGTGGATCCCCAGAGTTATTAAAACATGTCCTCTAGGAACCATGAATGCCTATACAAAGTTATTTTGCCAATTCATGAAGCATTCATGAAGATATTTCACTGTAAAAGTAAAAACTTTAACCCTCTGGTGACCCTCTGGAGAAGATAAGGCAGGGGACCACCCAAATCATTAAAATATATTCTCTGGTGACCTTAAATATCTGTAACAAACATTGCCAAGCTATAAGGGGTCACCAAAATCAGAAGGATTTAACATCTACAGCAGGAACATGAATTTCAGTTGAAAGCTTTGCTCCTCACCAAAAGTGTTGGACCCACTAACTGGCAGGCAGGAACTCGGCATCTCTGTAGCCACGTTGTAAACATGACCAGCTGGGACATCCTCCATACTATAAGCTACATGAAACATTATAATACTGGAGTGATCCTTCACTTGGCATGTTATGATGTTCTAAATTGTTATGGTTCCTTGATGGGTGTGGAGCTTCAGGGGTTAAGAGGTGTGAGAGCGGGAGGGAGAGAAGTGTGAGAGAGATTGGAGCTATGGAGGGTGTTAGCAGATTGTTATTCTTTGCTTGTTGTTGGGCTGTTTTTTTTGGCATGGTTACGGCCAACAGTAACTGGTTGTGTGGAGTTAATAAAAGCGACTATTCGTCGGCACTCAGGGTTGTCCATCTTGTGTCCTGCGGGACGCTACAATACTAATCATGAGACTTAAATGTGAGTGATTATCTACCAGTACAGCTGAGGAAATGAGAAAGTCACTTTCGGCTTTTCCCGTTTAGGGGTTGCCAGAGCGAATTGTCACACTGACGATTCACATTTTGACATTTGAGTTGTGTTTTACGCCAGATGCCCTTGCTGACGCAAGCCTGATTCAAACCCGGGCCGCAGCAGAGAGAGCGCTGTGCCTTAACCACTAGCCTACCAGGGACCTAAGATATAATCTATTTAATTATTACCCTACACTTGAATAGAAACTAAAGCTGAACGTACAATAAACCCTGGTTAGTGGATCGCCAAATGCAGGACCATTCATCCGAGAATGAAGTGGTTACCCTCCCTGCAATCAAGAGCACCCAAGCTACTAATAAGGATGGAATATGAAAGAGTTATGAAGGATAGCCTGCTAGAGTGTATTTGTGTTTTTACGTATATCTAAACATGTATATGTCCATGCACGAGTGTTTGTGTATGTGTGTTGTGTTTCTTGCGCTAATGCACTGAAAGCCTGTGGGCGCTGGCCAGCCCTGCCGTGTGCTCATCAATAAAAGGGCACAGAGAATGAATAAGCCTTAATTGACCAGATATCCTTCATTACACATACTTACAAATCCATCCACTCTCCTTGGAGTCGTTCTTAGAGGCACAAACTCGTGACATCCAGCAAGGCAAAGTGAGACATACACATCCCGGACATGAAGCTTTTTAAATGAGCCATTTTGAATATTTTCCCTTTGTAGTGTGTCTCTTGAAACAGTTGCTTCGAAGTATCATCTATTGTTAGATTTCAGATTTAATATGCATGGTCAGAGTAGGGTCCAGAAAAGTGACCAGTCATCTTTATCATTAGAGGTTTACTTATATTCAAATGTCAAGATTACAGTTAACTAAAAATATGCTGTATGTGATGCTGGGTAAGATTCATGAAAGGCTGAATTTAATTCTCTACAGGGACACTGTGAAGCAGGCAAGCTGCCGTCCTTGTGGACCTGAGGATGTTTCGCAAGAAAAAAAAGAAGAGGCCTGAGATATCGGCGCCCAAGAACTTTGAGCACCGTGTCCACACATCTTTTGATGCAAAGCACGGCTGCTTTGTGGGCCTGCCGACCCAATGGAGAAGCCTGATAGAAAACCTGCGAAGGCCCAAACCCGTGGTGGACCCATCCAGGATCACAGAGGTGGAGCTGAGGCCAAAGAAGGTAGGCACACTTTCTGTTCAACTTTTTTATTCAGTGACTGTATCTTGAACTGATCACCAGGGCCTCATTAAGCACAATGAGTTATCATTCTAAAAATACAGCGCTACTCTCAGCAAGAACAGCACATGAAGACCTGCTGCTTGTTATATCAATACAGATGTATTTCTTAGTGCTGCAGAGAAAATGCCATAATCCTCTGATGACAATACGGAAGGAAGCCTTGCTCCCATCCCCACCTTTTTTCAGAATCAGAATCAGAATCAGAATCAGCTTTATTGGCCAGGACACACGAGGAATTTGACTCATGTACATCGGCTCTTAATGTGCAAAACAGTAAACCAGCATAAGGCTGTGTAATATAACAAATTCGGGGTCAGTGGATGGAACTCCTGCGGGAGCTCTGTCTCTCTGATCCCAGCACTGTAAGGCCTACCTGTGATCAGACGTTCAGTAAACTTTCTGCTGATTTTAAACGGTCCTCTCCTGTCGTCACTTATCGTGCTTCCAACAAAAGAACGAGTTAATTTCTAACAAATGGTGCTGTGATCCGGATGGAACGACTTCGAGCTAGTGTTCGACAGGGGACCGCGTGAGATCGGCAGAGAACTGAGGATGCGCGATCTATGGAAGTACTTCTACAGACAATTTGCCGGCCGGCATTCATAAAAACAGGTAAGCAGATTACCTTTTCTATATTATAGAGAAATTCTGCACATTGGGCACTCTAAAACGCTGAATTGTCTGATTGAGGATCTTTCCCGATCGGTAAATTGTTTTAAAATTGTGTTAAAAGAGAAGTAAAGTGTTTCGTCTTTTGTCTGAAGTCTGATCACATTCAAGTCTAAAATCACATAGCCTCACGTGTGGGAGAATTCATGAGTGTCCTAGCCTTAGATCGATTGGCTTTATAAAAGACGTAAAATCCATCACATGAATGGATAACCATTGAGGGTTGTCTTACAAATTTAATAGGACATTTGATACTATTTAATTCCAGGTTTTATAAAATAAAGCCTGAAGCCAGGAAAGAGCCCCGTTGCCGCTAGAAGTAGCGAAGTCACTTTAAATGTGAAGTTTGGTTAAAGTTAAATTATCAATGAGGACACAGGGACAAGTTTGTTGTGTTCCATAATTGTTGTGGGGTGGTTTCTGTTAGGTATTTTTAGTCAGATAGATACTGGTTAGGTACTTGTTGTATAAGGAATGTTTAGTGTAGACAGGATGTCTAGCTTAGGCTGTTAAAATGCTTAGTCATTCCCATGGGGGACTCCAGGTTGTTTATGTTCAAGGATAACTAGATAGAAAGTTGATTACTGTATGACATGTTTAATCAGAATTGTATTCATAATATCTTCTTATGCTTAATGTCATGACATGTCACTGGATGTCCTGTCAGAATGTCTTAGATACACACCACACAATCAACGGACAATAACACATTGATTTTCTTCATGTTTTGACTACTGCTCTGGTCAGCTGCAAAGCTGGCACCGGGAGACATCACGGTTGACGTTCCTGTGTAGTATGGGATTAGCCCAAAGTGATATAATGTACAGGCCTGTTGACTTCAGGGTCTTTCATCCTTCAGTTGCCTGCGTGCATGTTGGAGGTGCAAGATACCTGAGCGTGTAATGTTAATTTTTACCTGTGTTCATGGAATAAATCAGCACTGTTTTGTAGCTACTTGGACCGCCTCGTCTCTCAGAGTTAGCATGGTACAAAGAACCGGAATACAACAAGTACCTAACCAATGTCTATCTGACTAAAAATACCTACATGAAAGAGATTTTCTACTGTCTAAAACAAATGATTTGACTGGGATACCCTCAACAGCCAAGCAGAGCCTCTGTGTTCTTGACTGGGTCGGTCACGTGGGCGCTGTGCCATTCACCGAAACTTGTTAATACGTGTTTGTCTAATTTTCTGCTATGGCACTAAATATATGTGAACGGTGGAAAGAGAGCAAATCCGAGACCCTGGGGTCGGTAGTGTATTTAGCGGTCATGAGATGGCTAAGGAAGGTTCTTAAGGAAGATGAAGGGAAAGAATTAGAAAGATTTACTTGTTGGGTGGAAGATATGCAAGACAGGGGGATGTTTGGAGACTGCGAAGGCGCTGGACCTGAAGTGAGTGATTTAATGCTGTTTTTGAAGCAAGCTGCAATGAGCGTTGAACAGCGTAAAAGAAAAGTGTGCGAAGCAGGAAGATTCTTTTCTGCAGTCCTGACTGTCTGCTGAAGTTTGTACTTGTCCTGTTTGGTTGCTGAGCCAAACCAGACAGTGATGGAGGTGCAAAGAACAAACTCGATGATTCCTCTGTAGAACTGTATCAGCAGCTCCTGGGGCAGGTCGAACTTCCTTCAGCTGGCGCAGGAAGTACATCCTCTGCTGTGCCTTCTTGGTGATGTTCCTGATGTTGGATGTTCACTTCAGGTCCTGGGAGATAGTGGAGCCCAGGAACTTGTAGGACTTTACTGCTGATACAGTGCTGCCAAATATGGTAAGTGCGGGCAAGGAGGGAGGGGTTCTTCCTGAAGTCCACTGTCATCGCCACTGTTTTGAGCGTGTTCAGCTCCAGGTTGTTACAGCTACACCACAGGACCAGCTGCTCAACCTCCCGTCTGTAAGGCTGACTCGTCGTCATCTCGGATGAGACCAATGACCGTTGTATCATTAGCAAACTTTAGGAGCAGGACAGAGGGATCCTTCAAGATGCAGTCATTGGTGTAGAGTGAAAACAGCAGAGGGGAGAGCACACATCCCTGGGGGGCAACTGTGCTTATTGTCCGGGTGCTGGATGTGACCTGCTGCTTCCTGTCTGTCAGAAAGCTAGTGATCCACTGACAGGTGGGGGCAGGCACAGTGAGCTGGGTCAGTTTGGAGTGGAGGATGTCCGGGATGATGGTGTTGAACGCCGAGCTGAAGTCCACAAAGTGGACCAGGCCTATACATTATATCTCTTCGGTTGGGTTAGCCCCATACTACACAGAAACGTCAACCGCGACGTCTCTGGTGCCAGCTTTGCAGCTGGCCATAGCAGTAGTCAAAACATGAAGCAAATCGATGTGTGTGTGTCTGTTGATTAAGTGGTGTGTAGCTAAAAACATTCTCACGCGACCTCTAGTGACATGTCATGACATTAAACATAAGAACATATTATGGCTAAGGCTACAGTTATACACATCATAATAATAATATTAAACACCCTGTCTGCTGACAATCATCAACTTTTCTCTCTAGTTATCCTTGACCAGATGTACCCTGTAGAAACTCATAAGCATGCCTAAGCATTTAACAGTCTAACTAGACATCCTATCTCCACTAAACATTTCTAATACATAAAGTATCTATCCAATTTCTATCTGACTAAAAATACCTAACAATGCTCAGCAAAGACTGGACAACAGATTACAGTGACCAGGTAAAAGAGCAGTTGGACCATCCTTATACTGTGCAATGTGATGTATTTCTGAGTGGACTCAAATATATGGATGAGGTAAAGTTCCAAAAGGGATGTAAATGAAATCCTTCACATTGATTGGATTGCTCAAAGTAGACACGGCTTAGCAAGTACAGAGAAAGATACAGAGATGTGTCCAAACACACACCTCTGACTCATCATCTCACTCTACCTACTACAGCCAACTGTGATCTAAAGGTCAAGAACACTATTATATGAAAGAGATTAGCTTCATACCCTAAATGTTATTTGATTGTATTACGATTGAACTGTATTATGAAACCTGAAAGCTGAAACTGTAGGGATCCTATCTCCTGGCTGTGAGGGCCCAACCTCTTCCTCTAGTCTTCTTTCACGGCTGCTTTGTTTGTCTAACAATTAAGCAACATGACACCCACCTTTGGGAATCCATGGGTAGATCAAGTGTGAGCAACTCACTTCTGAGGCTAAAACAGGATATCACTATCACTACTGGAATCTCAGATCTCAATAATTACAACCCCATCTCCCAGTGGACGCTAACTGTCGAGGGATGACTGTTGTCATACAAACATACAAACTGTAAAGCCCCCAACAGTGACTGGCTTTTTAGGAGGGACAGCCACGTCCTGGAGAGTCCGGAGTGCTTGGTTCAGTGGAAGCAGAGTGTCTTGCATTATGCATGGTGGCTGTTATTTCCATCACATGGTGCTGTCAGGCATCATTGTTGTTCCTGCTTTGTCAGCAGAAATCGCAGTGTGTTCATAGATTGCTGTTTTGGTGTCTACTTTAACCCTCTACCTCTCTTAATGTTCACTGTACTTTATTTCACCATGTTATGCCAATGGAGGTCGAAGACCCGGTGGGTTCCATTAACTGCTCCTGTCTCCACAGCGGTGTGGATCCTGGTTTGAAGGGGGCTTTAAGTCGAGCTGCTTGTTGTGACAAAGCTGGTCCTTGCTGTCAGGCCACTCAGTAGAATGCGAGGGAGAAAGTGGCTCTGCTCTGGAGTCCATGCATTATTTCATACAGCAAGTGACAGCCCAGCACACAGGCAAAAATCCAACAGACACCGGGGTGTCAGCGAGAGGTGTGTGTGCTGATGTGCGGATGTTTGTATCCGTGCACACACAGCCGTGTGTGTTTTTATGGCTTTATGCCACTGCAACTGTGAAAGCTCACAGCTTACAGCATCCGACGCTTCCAAATAACCTAGATTAGGTCTGGACGGGATTTAGTGAAGTTGTTAGACATTTCTGAGTTCATGTCTGGTAAAAGATGAGTTACAAAATGAGGTGTTGCCTGGTCTCAAAACTCTTTTTAACAAGGTGCAGAGAGCTGAGAACACATGACAAGATGAGAGCTAAAAGAAGAATTTCTTATTTTGTTTGTTGTTTTTTTGTCTTTTGTTGTTTATTTTCTAGAAGGAGTATTTTACTGCATGACAAAGCTATTTGTTCAAAACACTCAGTAAATGACCTCGATAGTCTGAGCTGTCATTTGCTGCACTGCTCTGTAAGGCCCCGTTGGCTGTACAAGTAAACGAGGAAATTAAGAAGAAA